GGGCAGCTGGGACTTACCCAGGAACACATAGCTCATGTCCTTTCCATTATTCTACAATGTTGAAAAGTTTAATCTTTAATTCAAAATGGTTGTTGGTTAGATTTTATTTCCGTATTTCTGGCTAGCATCTAATAATAATTATCAATGACTTTTGAACCGACTGTGTCAACATTACAATAACCAAATACCTTGGTTGTTTTGTGAGAGAACTCACCTTATGACTCAGCAACACCAAACTGATTCAGAGAAAGGGCTGTGGAAAAAGCGGGTTTCTCATGGTTTTTGAAGTAATACTGCCACCTCGTGGACCAATGGTGAGCTACAGTCCACTTTAAGTCCATGGCATTAACCTCATGTGGGCCTTAGTGCTGCAGGTAATGCTACTTCCTTTTCTAGTCCATCCATTCCCCCAACAATAGTGAACAACAGAAATATTCTAGGTTACTTTTACAGGTATCAACTCGATTCTCACAAGCACTTTTAGTGATTTTGTTTGTCTGATTAACAGATGAAGAAAATGAAATACAAAATGGTAAAATAACTTGACTAAAGGCACACAGCTAGTGAGTGGCTGAGTCAAGATTCAAACCCAGGCAGAGGGCTCCAGAGTATGAGCCCTTGACCTCCCTAGAAGTACTTTTTCTGTTCTCTCCTCAAACTTTCTAGCCTCTGACCTCCTCCTTCTCCAACCTGTTTCAGTTGGTGGTTTTTTCCCATAAAGGAACTTAGTAAAGAACTTCCACAAACCCCCAGCACCACAGCTATACACCCAATTACATCTGTGCCATATCTTCTGCCTTCCCTCTTGAACTATGCCCAAACTATTAACTTCCTGTCTAAGCCGACCATTCCATTTGGGCCCCCTTCCAAGCACACTGCTCCAGCAATTGGTCCCCTCTCTCTACTCTGATCATCAGTTTCCCCCTCTCTCCAGAGGGATTATCCCCACCAGCATACAGTCTGTCATTTCATTCAAAAAACGACTATATTTTAATCATCATTTTAAATGGGGCTTTTAATTATGTTTGATAGTTGATTTAAGTTGAACAGACTAAATTTCTTTAAACAATCCCATTTACAACCCAAAGTCCTTTAAACAGTTTAACAGCATTTACACTTTTATTTTCTTGTAAATAGCACTTCAAATGCTTGACCCAACAAGCAAAACCTTCCCAAGTACTTAACTCTTATAAATATAATAAATGTACAGTGACTAAGTTCTCTGACATATTTCAGTATTTCTGCAGGCTTTCTAAGATCTTAAAATACATTTCAACTAAAATTTACAAGTCTAAAAATCTGTTAGGCATTTTAAGTTGGAAATGAAGGCCAGTGTTACATACTGTAATATGTCAGGTATGTTCCAATACTACTTCAAATAGCAAATACTACAGTTTGTCCCAATGACTATAAAAAACTATTCCTGAACTTAACACTGAAGTATTGATGGCTATGGGAATTGTTTCCTAACCTTTTTGAAAATTTGTAATCGTTACATATTGCATCTAAAAACGCCAGCACTCTGTGAAGTTTTGTTAAAGGGAATGAGTGGTTTGGGCCCCAGCAGGCAGGCCAGTTCAGGGTGCTGGCATGAGGGACTCAAGCTTGGGGGAATTCAAGGGTGAATTAACTACTGTAGTAAATTCAATGATAAATGAGAATACCAACCTTGGATGGTTGTGGTGAGAATCAAATAAAATAATGTACGGGAAAACCCTTGTCACATGTGAGTTGATGGCAGTTTTTTGGTAGAATTTTAACCTTTCATTCTTACTGTTGATAGTATCCAATCTATCAGCATATTTATGAAGTTACATTTTTTTAAAAGCTTTAAATTTATTTAAATAAATTAACCCTTCTTAACATGAAGACACAGTTTCTAACCTTGACTAATCTCATAATTACTCAGGGAAGCAAACTCCTGGTTTCTTATAAGCCACTGGGCTTCATGATTGCTTAAATCAATTGATGAGGGGGAAACCAGACCCTCTGTTTGAGCATATGTCCTCATCAGAACATAGGAATATTTTTTTCTGCTTTAAAAAAATATATCTGAGGGCCTCCCTGGTGGCGCAGTGGTCGAGAGTCAGCCTGCCGATGCAGCAGACACGGGTTCGTGCCCCAGTCCGGGAGGATCCCACATGCCGCGGAGCGGCTGGGCCCGTGAGCCATGGCCACTGAGCCTGCGCGTCCAGAGCCTGTGCTCCGCAACGGGAGAGGCCACAACAGTGAGAGGCCCGTGTACCGCAAATGAAAAAATATATGTATATATATCTCTGAATTCACAGAACGGAAATTTTAAGAGGAGACTGCAATTACAAAATCTTCCTTTAAGAATTCTTCTGGCCTGACATTTCCTTACAGATAATTAACTACTTAAGGAACTGGGGGAAGGTGGAAAAGGTAGCAAGTGTAAAATCAGTGTGCTAGGAATCAATAACCAGTTACTATCCATCAGGAATTGAAACATCTCAGAAAGCCAAGAAGAAAATATGAATTTCTTTATCAAAAAATGTGAATTACATTGAACTTTTTTTAAAAAACACAAGTATTTTCCAAAACAAGCAACTCTGGCTTGGGGTTCTGAAACACAAAATGATGTTAAGAATAGAGGAGAAAAAAAAAACACCTAAACACAGATCAAATGGTTTCCAGAGGTAGGTAGCTACAAAATAAGCTCCAAATATATCAATATGTATAAAAAACGCTGAAAGGCTATTAATCACGAGACATGGCAAATTTTATCATTCTACTGACCTGAAGCAAGTTGAAAAGCTTGTAGAAAGGCTGCATATTTGGGGAAGAGGAAAAACATGGTCTGTAAGGCCTACCTGCAGACCTTGCTCTGAGAAGCACAGTCAAGATTACAGAAAGAAAAAGAACCATGGGCTGCTGAGCACAATTTTTAGTATTCAAATCTGCCTCATTACACTCTGTGAATACAGGTCAAACTAGGGTCAATTATTCAGAGTTGGCCACTAATTTGCCACACTTGGAACAGATACAGCCCAATTACCAGCTAGGTGGAACACGTGGCCTGGGATAAGGGATGGCATCAAGGAGAGGGAGGCAAACTCAGCTGGGGCTTGGGAATCCCAAGTGCCCCGATTAGAGTGAAGAAAGAATTTATTTGTTGTTGCCATTTGTTTTGTTGTTGTTGTTTTTCCAGGATAGAAGGGAAAAGTAAAGCCCTGTTCCTTTGGCAGTATTCCTAGTTGAAACCCTCTCCAGAGTTCTGAATGCCTACTCAAATGCTGAAACAGAACTCTGCTGTAGTAAAATTAATGTCGGGCTTCCCTGGTGCCGAAGTGGTTGAGAGTCTGCCTGCCGATGCAGGGGACACGTGTCTGTGCCCCGGTCTGGGAAGATCCTACATGCCGCGGAGCGGCTGGGCCCGTGAGCCATGGCCGCTGAGCCTGCGCATCCAGAGCCTGTGCTCCACAACGGGAGAGGCCACAGCAATGAGAGGCCCGCGAAACGCAAAAAAAAAAAAAAAAAAAAAAAAATTAATGTCAATTTGTCCAAGATGGACATACACTATGACCAAAACATCTTCCAGCTAAAGATGCCAGGAGATAATTCAAAATAGCACATGGAAAACCATGATTAAAAACAGGTTCTTATTTTCCAAGCACAGTTATTCCAGTCTCTTCCATAAAACTGCTTCTGTAAATAGTTTTTTTTATGTATCAAACAGAGTCTCCTCCCAGTAGTCAACCGCATCAAATCTATTCCAAGTTAGGAGTTCTTATGTGTCCTGTTAAGCACACGCTATGATTCAATCTTCTTGTTCTCTAGAAATCCATCAGATGCATTATGCTGCAACAAAGAAGGGCTTTCTTTACTTGTCATGGTAGCAAAAAGCATATCCATCATCCCCAAGGTTTCTAGTAGTTCTCTTTGGTAATCAATCTCTTTTTCTACAAGTCCTTGAAGTAACAAAAACTTTTTATCAACTACAGGTGACTGACCAATCACAGGTAGATATATATCTAGAAAGAGAGAGAGGAAACACATTTACTAGAAACATCTTTCTAAACAATACATGAACAACAATATTTAGAAAAAGTACAAAAATATTAAATATAAAAGACATTGAAAAATCTGTACTTATTTTACAACTTATGTTTTACATAAAGTAAACAATCCATCTGAAAAACGTATTTCAAAAAGAAATAATTAAAGAAAGTACAGTGTTAAGGTTCTGACTTATTTTCATTTTCTCATTAAAAATTAGTCGTGGGGGCTTCCCTGGTGGCGCAGTGGTTGAGAGTCCACCTGCCGATACAGGGGACACGGGTTCGTGCCCCGGTCCGGGAAGATCCCACATGCCGCAGAGCGGCTGGACCCGTGAGCCATGGCCGCTGAGCCTGCGCGTCCAGAGCCTGCGCTCCGCAACGGCAGAGGCCACAACAGTGAGAGGGCTGCTTTTTATTATATTTTTCAGCACTAGAGATTTCTTTCTGTTCTTGAAAATACAGTTTGTTCTCTTTGAAAAAAAAAAAAATTAGTCATGGTCATTGGAGGTATTTAAGGAAAAACCTTTTTAAATTATAATAACCCTTGTGCCAGCAACTGAAAGCCAATCCATTGTAAACATTTTACTCCCACTTTAAAATGCACTGATTTACTACTATTGTTTGTTTTCTCCATGAAGTCTTCACTGGAGAACTGATAAACACAAGGTATATCAATCTATTTGATTTCATTATTTGACATCTCTACTTCTGCAAGTATGCTACAATTTTTCAGGTTTTAACAGCTACTTACCAATAATTATTTCAGCAGCATTAATCAAAACAGGGGCAAATCTTGGCTGGGACAGATTCCTACAAAGCAAAAATTCTGTTTACTGAAACCTGGAAACTTAAAGAAAAAAAATCCTTAAAATAGATTTACTAAACTGTTCTGTCAGTTCTTTACAAAGCTCAAACTAAAAGTAAATTTGGAGATAAAATTTCAGATGCGAAATACATGCGCTTCATAGACATAAAACATACCTTATCAAAAAATTAAGAACACGACTGATTTCCTTTTCATCTCGACCTGCAAGGGCATTTGCAAGGACTCCTCTTCGATTTAGCTCCTTTATGATGGAAACTGTAATCTCAGGCGTCTTTATTGCACAACTGGGCTAGAAAATTTTTCAGAGTCAACATGAGCAGACAAGACAGTACAAGAAAAAAATCATAGTCTTGGAACTCACTAACAATTACCAAATTTAAACAGGTTTTTTTCTTCCCAGTTTTGAGTCGTGGTAATGACAAGGCAAGAAACAAAATGATTCTTTTAAAAATAAGCTCCCTGTAGATACATCAATTGTAACAAATGCACCACTCTGGTGGGGATGTTGATAAGGGGGGAGGCTATGCATGTGTGGGGCAGGTAGTATATGGGAAATCTCTGTACCTTCCCCTCAACTGTGCTGTGAACCTAGAACTGCTCTAAAAAAAAGTCTTAATAAAAAATTCACACACAATCTGTAGTGAGGTGGATGGACCCAGAGTCTGTCATACAGAGTGAATAAAGTCAGAAAGAGAAAAACAAATACCGTATGCTAACACCTATATATGGAATCTAAAAAAAGATGGTTCTGAAGAACCTAGGGGCAGGATAGGAATAAAGACACAGACACAAAGAATGGACTTGAGGACACGGGTAGGGGGAAGGGTAAGCTGGGACAAAGTGAGAGAGTGACATGGACATATATACACTACCAAATGTAAAACAGATAGCTAGTGGGAAGCAACCGCATAGCATAAGGAGATCAGCTCGGTGCTTTGTGACCACCTAGAGGGGTGGGATAGGGAGGGTGGGAGGGAGGGAGACACAAGAGGGAGGAGATATGGGGATATATGTATATGTATAGCTGATTCACTTTGTTATAAAGCAGAAACTAACACACCATTGTAAAGCAATTATACTCCAATAAAGATGTTAAAAAAATAAATTAATAAAATAAAATTGATTACCATCCAGCCCTTATTAAAACTCAGTTGACACAACTGGTATTTGAGAGAAGAAATCTATGGACCAAGTTAACCATCATTGCTCTAAATTGGTTTTTAGCTATGTTCTATTATAAGTGAATTCTTACTTGAATTGTATTTGGTTACCTATTTGTTGAAATGACACTACAGAAGCTGTGGGCGTTTATTATTATGTCTTTGGCTTTTACAGAGGGTTAATACATAATCCTATGCTTGAGAATATTTCTGCATCTTCTAATGACATAAAGACTATCACACGATTCCTACATTTTTCTTCGTGTTCCAACTAAAAACAACTCATGATAAATTTCTCTGTACTACAGTGTGAAAAAAAAGTTGTGTATTTTTTCTAAAATATAGATATATATGTTTCATTTATCTAATAGCAATTATGAAATTCAATCCATTATCCTTATTACCTTGCTTCTAGGAAACTGGAATATACATTTATGTTCCACTCTAGTATATATTCATAACCTAAGTTTCTGCATCTTTCTATAGTATGGGTATTCATATTCAATATGATTTTAGCAACCTATTTATATGTGTGTGTCACAAATTACATCCACTTTTTTGAAGTAGAAAGAATATAAATAAAATTAAAAAAAATACACACACACACACACACACACACACACACACATTCCTCATTCACCTCAAGGACTCTGTCAAGTGCCTTAGAGATCCGGAAGTTTTTCAGATCCCTGTCATACAATTCTAGGTGTTTCTTTGATGGTCTGTTGATCAAAATGTCATCCTGCATTGAAAAGTAAATTTACAGAGAAAAATCAAATATTCTTTTAGAGCTTCATTCAAAATAAACTTCTTCGTAGTGCTATTTCTTTTTTTTTTTTTTTCGCTGTACGCGGGCCTCTCACTGTTGTGGCCTCTCCCGTTGCGGAGCACAGGCTCCGGACGCGCAGGCTCAGCGCCCATGGCTCACGGGCCCAGCCGCTCCGCGGCATGTGGGATCTTCCCGGACCGGGGCTCGAACCCGTGTCCCCTGCATCGGCAGGCGGACTCTCAACCACTGCGCCACCAGGGAAGCCCCCGTAGTGGTATTTTTTCATAGTTCTGTGGTGTCCTTGAACTGTATCATAAAAAATGGTCATATGCCCATATTGTCGATTAAATGAAAATGGAATAATCTGCCACATCACTGTGTTCTTAGTGTCCTATGATTTTAACTTACGATACATACACGATACCTCCGTTCTGGGCAAACATTACTCACTGCAATTCTCTTTACATAGCAAGCACTGATTCAGCAGAAAGAGAAAACAAGAATCAGAGAAACTGCCATCTAGTCCCAGTAAAGCAATCCTGGATCAACACAACTTCCTTATATCTCCATCTTCTCCATCTTCAGATGCCAAATGGAGATATTATTGGCTCTACTCTTTTTCAGGGTTGTTTACAAGATCAAATCAGATAGCATGGGAAAGACACTGTTCTGAGCACCACAGCATTGTTATGATTCAGGGCATTAAGAAGTACAGTTCTTACTTCCCATTACTTATTAATTTAATGTCCCCAATCTAGCAATGTGGAGATAAATGAGGTAGAGAAAAGCAAAATGAAGCTAAATGCCATGTGAACTACACTTTCCAGTAATGTGCAGGGATGAGGTTGGATACTCTAACAAATTTCACCTTTAAAACAAATTACACAAAATATATAAATACCTGTTGTTTCATATAATTTTTTCCTTTAATAAAAGTTCGATATGCAGGCCTTCTTCTCCTGGGAAGAGAATCCTTCTTTGCTTCAGATTTCCGATGTTTAACACTCAGTATTCCATTGGTCATTCCTACAACTATTGTCTCATCTTCATGCTAACAGCAATTAGAAAAATAAGTTAGTATATTCCTAACTCATAATTCATCTTACTTTTTCTTCAAAATACCATTTATAATGTGTTTGCCACTTATCCATACTTTCAACAAGAGTTCCATTCAGATATAGATACTCCAACAAAAAGTTAGAATAAAATCATTTTTTTCCTCCAAGATACTATTATATTGACAGAACTTTTAATTATACTTGGAAATTATCACTGGCAGTTTGTATAATAATACAGTTAATGACATCTTAAGAAACTTCCAAAATAATTTTTTTCCCACATCCTCTTCCTAGAAACAGAATGATGTGGTAGCATGACTTTCCACAATCTTGTCAAGAAAATATTTTATAATAACTTTTCCCCTCCCAATTTCTATATAATGTATTCAAATCTATTCCTCTTCAATGGCTCATGAAACTTGACAATGAACATTCCAGAAGGAGCAGTTAACAAAGAAAAGGAGACATCATTTCATTGTGTTGCCCCCTATTCTCCTTTTTTTTTTGCTCAGAGAGCCAACTTGACTTTCTGGAGTATTTAACCCTTTGGGTAAATATACTGAAGAGAGATTTATCTGCTTTCCAGGTCCTGTCCTTAGTGTTAACAATGCCTACAATAGTGTAGTTAGTTTCAAGCTATGCAGTGAGTGGGACCTAAATCTGAATTCATGCCTAGTTACTGAGACAAATTACATGTTCTAGCAATTATCTAATGGGGTGAGAAGAAAATAATACTTGTACAAGTACAAAGATAAACCCTAATATTCCATTTTAGTTTCATTTAACAGGCAAGGTTAGTGAAAGCTTTAAAAAGAGCTAAAAGTACTTACTGCAAGTGCAAGACTCAAAATTGAAGCTGCATAATCAAAACTGTGGACTACTTTATAGGAACTTGTGCTATATACTTTCACCTTCCTAATGAAAAAGAAAGCTTTGTCACAAATCATCTTGGAAATGAGCATAAAAGGTAAAATTTCTATTTTTTGAAACTCAATATATGAATATTAAAACTTATACAACAATGAAGAAAAACAATAATATTAGTTACAAACTAATTCATCACTGGATCTCTTTTAAAAATGAACTGTTTATTGTTATGCTTGCATAAAGACTTCAACCAGCCACCAGAAGGATAGACCACTGTCTCCTGAAAATGAAACTTGAAAGTAAAGAAAAAGCAACATGAATGTTCATTGGAAAGAGCAGGGTTTCTCAGCTTCATTCAGCATTATCGACATTTCGGCCAGGATAATTCTTTGAAATGGTGGCTGTTCTGTGCACCGCAAGATGTTTAGCAGCATCCTTGGCCTCTACTCACTGCATACCAACAGCACTACACCCCCAAGTTGTGACAACCACCAAAAATGTCCGCAGATAGTGCCAAATAGCCCGCTGGAGGACAAAAATCACTCTGGGTTGAGAACTACTATGAATAGAGGAACTTACACCTAGCTTTTGAGGGACACATCTAAAAATCAAGTCTCAAATTGCCTAGTAACACCATTGCAGAGAATCTGCTATATATTTACATAGTAAGTTCCTCTGTGTTAGAAATATTTTCTAGCTTTTAAAATATGTATACTTTTTAATAAACATGCTGAAAAACCAAGGCTTTCCATATCAGTGAAAAAGGGAAATATGGAAATAAAATGACCAACAATAGATAAATATAAGTAAATTCTAGAACTGGGCCATCATTCTAGCCACATGTGGCTAATGAGCACTTAAAATGTGGTCAGTGAAAAAGAAGGGAATTTTTTATTTTACTTAATTTTAATCAACTTAAATTTTAAAACTGAGGCAGTATAAAATATTTTCCTGTTAAACACAAGTATATTTATTTCACTTTAACTGTAAAGTATTACTACTGTATTAAGGGCATGTATTCGATGCTGAACTTGCTTCTAGTCTATCATTAATAATTTTTACATTGAATACATACTGAAATAATATTTTAGAGTAAATAACTTATTAAATTAATTTTACCTAGTACCTTTTAGCTTTTAAACATGACTGGTAAAACACTTAAAATTACATATGTAGCTCACATTATATTTCTATTGTACAGCACTGTTCTAGAACATTAATTAATGAAACACTAATACCTACTGAAAATAGTAATATTTAGAAATATGTATTTCTATATATTAATGTATAGAAATTTTTACATGAAGTTTTAAATTTTAAAGAATACAAGCTATTGTATATATATATATACACATACTCATTATAAATACTTCAAAATATACAAACATACAATGATTTTAAAAGAAAACTACAGAATAATAGAAATTATTTTAAAAGATTAATGTTCACATGGTTCAATAAAATTCCTCAAGTATATAAATCAATAAATTACCTCAAGGGAGAAAATAAGTTTGCTATACGTAAATGAAATGTCAAAACTATTTTCAACTCAATAGATTTTTTTTCATGGAAATCATTTGGTAGAATATTTATTCTATCACAAATACTGCAGAAATAACTCAAGCAGTAAACATGTGTACATTAAGAATGATCCAGAAAGAAAATTAAAATGCTAACCTATCCAGTGAGCCAGAAAGTAACCTCTGTCCAGAGCTGCTCAGACATAAGCACGTCACAGTTTTATGATGATTTTTCAAAGACACTAGCAACTGTCCTCCTTTTAGCATGTCCCAGACTTTAATGTAACGACCTCCTATAAAAAGAAATAATCATTAGTTTGATTATGAAAGGATCTGAAAAGCACTCTTCACTGGACACTCCACAGCATGGAGTGGAGGGATTCCAGAGCCAGACTGCCTGATTTCAGTGCTGGGTCTACTATTTACTGGGTACGTGGCTGATAATAATTACAGTTCCTACCTCACAAAAACCTGTTATGATGATTAAATAATTTCATATTTGTAAAGTACACAGAACTGCCTGGCAAAATAAGAAGTATAATCAAGAAAGATTTTATTTTAACAAGATTAAAATAATTCTACAAAAGGAATTCTCTATAACCATGGAAAAGAATAACAGATTTCATTTCCTAAAAATTCTGTGAATCCCAACAAAACTGAAAAACTCTATAACTTTTACTCTATGAATTGGAAGCATCTTTAAAGGCAATTTAATCCAGGGGTTTAAAAAGAATTTTTTTATTATGGCGTCTTTTCTTTCAATGAAATATTAAGCAAAAGTCTAGTAGGTAAAATGGAAAAAGAGGCTGGGGGGCTGGGGTGGGAGGGGATGAAGTTCTTACTTATCCTGACTATGTAAAAGCACCTGGAACCCAATTTGCAGTCCCTGTCTCCCTACATGTAGCAGCTCATGAGAGAGATCACAGTTTGAAACCACTGATCTGGCCCAACCTCTCATTTTCAAGGTCTATATTGGTTAAAGGATTGCCCAAGGCCACACAATTAGCTACTGACACGACGGAGATTAGCATACAGGCATCCACTCTCCCTGTTCAACTTGTATGTACTTCCATTTCTCAAAATAACAGCAAGAAAAATAGGTAACTCTGACAATATTATCAACTTACTTTGAAAGCAAATAGGTACTGGGGAAAAGAGTATAAAACAGGATAACTTCTATTTGGATTTTAGAATTAAGCAAAAAACAAAACAAAGCTACACACTACCTACGTATTCTTCTAATGTCAACACATTAATTTTGACTTAACAAATGGGAAAAGAGAATTTACTTCTTCCATTATAATTTTTTAAATGCACCTCAGTTCCAACTTGATAAAAAATGTATCAAGGCCCCTTTGACTCCACATTATCTTCTCCTCCAGCACTATCAGCTATTTGCTGGGTAAGGCCACTTCAATCAAGAGTCACATAAAAAGAGATAAGCCTGATTCTAGATCTGAAAGAACCTGTGTTTTCAAAAGCTGCCGCAGAGCAGATCTCTTACGTAAGAACAACAGCAGGAGTACGACCTGGATTTTCAGATTAAGTACACAATGAAGGCTCTCAAGTTCTGGTATTTCAGATCTGCCACTTTTCACTTTGTCTTGGACAAATTACTTAAAACTTTTACTTATTTTCTTTTGCAAAATAGAGGGAAAACTATCTTGTAGGCTCACCTAGGGGATTGGAGGTAATACGTTTATAATAGCATAGTGCCTGGCTCATATTAGCTACTCAATAAATGAAAATTGCTTGCCTGTGCCACTTATCAACTGTCTGAGCAAAAACTGAGACATACATTTCAAGTGCACACTGATAAATTATAAAGAGTAACTAATAAAGAAATATCTGACTCAAGACAAACAATATTGGTGAAAGCAATTTTTAAAAGAAATACCTGCTGATACCAGAAGACCTCCAGAGGGAAAAAGCAGGACACTCTCCACTGGCTGCCCATGCTCAACAGAGATAACACTCTGGTTTGTTCGTGCATCAAACATCTTCACAGTGTGATCATATGACCCTAAAATGTCAATTTTTGTACTATGTGAGTTTCACTACTCAAAATAACAAAAATTATACGTGTGTGTGTGCATAATCAAACATAAACTTTAAAGGGAGAAGAAGCATAGATGAAATTTTAAAAAGACATATGTATACTCATGAAGACACAGTACTTCCAAACCCTCTGGTACCACTGACTGTTTCTGAAGCACTAACCTACACAGAATCTTAAATGATTCCTATCTTCAGACTACTGTCACTACTGAGTCACCTGGGAATCTTTGCACAGGCACCCATTAAGACTGAACTGCACTATCTCTGTTTCTTGGCTGCTGGAGAACCTGTGAAAACCAGAGTACAGATGTTTCCAAACACATCTGGAGGATGATAAGAACAATCCCCAGGGACTTCCCTGGTGGCGCAGTCGTTAAGAATCCCCCTGCCAATGCAGGGGACACGGGTCCAATCCCTGGTCCGGGAAGATCCCACATGCCGTGGAGCAACTAAGCCCATGCACCACAACTACTGAGCCTGCACTCTAGAGCCTGCAAGCCACTACTGAGCCTGTGTGCCACAACTACTGAAGCCCACATGCCTAGTGCCTGTGCTCTGCAACAATAGAGGCCACTGCAGTGAGAAGGCCGCACACCGCAACAAAGAGTAGCCCCCGCTCGCCGCAACTAGAGAAAGCTGGCCCACAGCAACGAAGACACAACGCAGCCATAAAACAAAACAAGAAAAAACCTTGCCTTAATTCTGAGCAATAAACTTAAAATAAAAAAGCTTACTTCATAAAAAAAAAAAAAATCCCCAGAAGAAAAAGAAAATAAAACAATTGGATAAACAGAGACATATTTTTTTATAAAACTTTTTAAAACTCATCTATCCCAGGGTAAGCTGGGACGAAATAAAAGAGTGACATGGACATATATACACTACCAAATTTAAAATAGATAGCTAGTGGGAAGCAGCTGCATAGCATAGGGAGATCAGCTCGGTGTTTTGTGTCCGCCTAGAGGGGTGGGATAGGGAGGGTGGCAGGGAGACGCAAGAGGGAGGAGAAATGGGAATATACGAATGTGTATAGCTGATTCACTTTGTTACACAGCAGAAGCTAACACACCATTATAAAGCAATTATACTCCAATAAAGATGTTTAAAAAACAAAAAACAAAACTCCTCTATCTCAAAAGAGTCCCAAAGCAATATTAAAGTATATCAATAAAATTACCAACTTCAGGAGGGAAGAAAAAGATTTCACCAACCTGTTACAAAGAGATCTGGGTTCAGTTTGCTAGCACATCCACACCTCACATAATCAGAATGTTCTTTGAATGTCAGAATTTCTTTGGAGTTTGGAATATCCCATAATTTAACTGTATAATCATCAGCCCCAGAGACCACATGATATTTGTCAGCTGTAAAATCTACTGTATGAACTGCTCTGAAAAATCAAGGATCAGTATATTAAAAAGCAAGGAAAAATTATTGCTGGCACCTTCTGACATCAAACACCCTTCTTCCCAAAATAACAAAAAAAAAGCAGCTCAGTTTCAGTAATTGTAGGGAGAAATCATGAGAGAATAAGAAAATCTTTAAAACAGGTATTTGTCCCCAAGCCAATTTAAAATTTATATACCCCTAGTACTATGAAGTTAATAAGAATATTAAACAGTAGCCTTAAAATTATATTTTCTAATAAGTTAACATTTCTACTTAGCACGTCAACAGAAAGTAAATGTTCTAAATGTTGGCACAAAGGTACTTTAATTTGAAAAATTTCAAAATGGATAGTTCTTAAAAAATTCTAAGGACACTTGTCACTAAGTAGGATCGTATTAAGTGAACTTGTTATATTTAAAATGTTTCACTGATGGACTAAGACTATCCTGATAATATAAAAAACACTTTTGAGATTTAAAATCAACAGCAAATTTCAGTGACGACATTGGTAATCCTGAAAGATATAAAACTGTCCCTAGCCATTTAATTTATAAAGGGGCAAAACACCAAATCCAAGTAGAAAAAAATCCAACTTGATTTCAAAATAACAACCTCTAATATAGTCCAAGCCTTTAGAGTTCTCATTAATAAGTTGTGAGGTTGCCTTTAGATCAGCAGTTTATAACCTCAACGGCGTCACAGAACTCACTGAGAAGTTAACGAAAGCTACAGGACATCTCCATAGATAACCACACATTTCCTAAAATGTCACATACAATTCTAGAAATTCATGGGCCCCATCAAACTGGACCATAGGATTGAACCAAGTTAAGCACTGTCTTAGAACAACCAGAAAATAAAGTCCGTGACGGTACATAATCTTCACAGAACTCTGTTTTTTTCAAAGCCTGTAAAACCAGTAGAGCTTACAATCATACAAAACAAAAACACATAAAAACCAACTATCTGTAACTGTACGGTGACAGATGTTAACTCAATTCATCATGATCGTTTCACAATATATACATATAGTGAATCATTATGCTGTACACCTGAAACTAATATAATGTATGTTAATTATAGCTCAATAAAAAAAAATTAAAACAAAACAACTGTCTCTTACTTAGTATGGCCTTCAAACTGCCTGAGGGGAGCCCTGCCACTTATATCAAAAAGCTGAATGCCTCCATCTTCACTGCCAGCCACAAGCAGTTTACCATCCTGCCGAAAAGTAGCACAGTATGCTGTGTCTTTAAATCGTGAAAAGGTTTTTATAGGTTCTTGGGAGTATCGGCCATAAATGTGAATCTACAAGAAGATAAAAAACACAGTATTAAAAAAAAAACAACACACAGTATTTTACTAGATGGCTCAAGACCAGTAGTAAATATAAACTACATAAAAGAAAAACAAAAATTATATTTACCCTTGAAGAAGCTGTGACAGCATAATTATACGGAGGCTGTAGAGAAAAGTCTACTTTTGACACTGCACCAAACTCCTTGATCTGAACAGGGGTCTTAATGAAAAATAATAGTGTATTAACAAAGTTACAACTGGTAAGACATATTTAAGCATATAATTTCTTATTGACAATTTCTTTTTGTTCTTAGTAACTAGGTTGTATTTAATAGAGAAGTATGAAGAAAGCAAAAAAGATCCAAATCCCATCATCTAGACAATCTCTGTGGCCATTAAAGTAAATAAATGTATGGTTGAAAAGCCACACCCCACTTTTTCTCTTTAGCTGTGAAGTTTTCTGTGATTATTACCAGGAAAAAGTTATGCCTAAACCAGCACATATTTAACCATGTATTTTTTAACTGGCACAAAGATCATACCACACAGGCTGTTCTGCACCTTGCCTTTTTTTCACTTATTAACACCTTAGCTAATAACTTTGCATAAGAGCAACAGCTTTATCATCCATTATAAGAGTCATCATAATTTAATTTACCAGTTCACTACTAACAAATAGGTTTTTCTGAGATTTCTTTTTTTTTAAATTTATTTATTTATTTATTTTTGGCTGCATTGGGTCTTTGTTGCTGCATGCGGGCTTTCTCTAGCTGCGGCGAGTGGGGGGTACTCTTCGTTGCAGTGCGTGGGCTTCTCATTGCAGTGGCCTCTCTTGTTGCGGAGCATGGGCTCTAGGTGTGCAGGCTTCAGTAGTTGTGGCTCACGGGCTCTAGAGCATAGCCTCAGTAGTTGTAGCGCACGGGCTTAGCTGCTCCGCAGCATGTGGGATCTTCCCGGACCAGGGCTTGAACCCGTGTCCCCTGCATTGGCAGGCGGATTTTTAACCACTGCGCCACCAGGGAAGTCCCTGAGATTTCTAATATTACAAATAACACTTAATGAACATCTTTCTACATAAAGATAACATACTTTACACACAAATTCTGGAGAGTATATTCATTGAGTAAGTTCCAAGCTGTGGAACTTACAAGACCAAAAGGTATTTTTATCATAATAGATAATGCCAGAATTGCCCTCCAGAAAGTCTGCACCAATTTCCCTCCCTCAAGTAGCAACGATGATCAAAATTTTTCATTTGTGCCGATATAAGATGAAAAAGTATCCAAATTATTATCCAATAATTTTATTATCCAATAAATTATTATCTAAAATCCAATTATTGTTTTAATTTGCACTTCTTCAATTATGAGTGAAGCTGAAGCTCTTTTAATATATTTATTGGCCACTTAAACTTCTTTTTCTATAACCTTCCCAATCCCAATCTTTTCCCATTTTTCTGTTTAGTTGTTCAGCTTTTTAAAAAAAATCATTTGTTAGCCTTTACATATAGTCTAGAAGAATTAATTTTGCATCACTTCCTCCTTAGATTAAGAAAAATGAAAAAAAAACCCTTCTTTCATGAGATTCAAATTCTAAAATTTATTTAATTCATTTGGCATTGATTAATCATCCATTCTGTGCTAGATAACTTCTATGATTAAACTGATTAAGGAATATGGATTTTTATTTTTATATAACTCTAAGAAAAAAATATCAGATATCAAATTTTCCACGCAAACTATAAGCTGCTGATAGATTATTTTTAGTTATTAGTTCTCTATTAGCATATCCACAGTATAAAATATGCTGAAGAAATTGACATAAACGTAAAACACCTCCCTCCCTTAATTTTGTCTATACTTACCTTATAGTTGTTCCAGTACAGTGTATCTTGGGTGATTTTTTCACCAAGTACAGGATATGCCTGGATCGCTACAGGCTTATAACCAGCCATACTTTCATAGAATTGCACTGTTATCCAAGGGTAAATAGTTTGAAATTGGTGTTAGAAATAAAGCGACTCTGCCTCACGTCTGAAAACGAAAACATTTTATAAACACATTATTATTCATAAACCTGTATATAGTTATGATTTTCACTCTGCATCTTTTCAGAAAGCTGTGTGGTAGCTTATAGATTAGTGATCAGTAACCACTTAATTTCAATTCAGAAGGGACAATCTAAAGGAAGCAGGAAGAATACAGATAGGGCTACCATAGCGTACTATCTAGAACTCAGCTATAGGCAGAGGCTATACACAAATGTTCCCACACCTAACTGACCAACTTACAACACCTGGGAATAAATCTGGTTCGGCCACCCAGTAGCCAAAGCATTTAGAAACACACTGGCTTAGAATGTTCACTTACTGACAACAGAAAATGTTAAGGTGAAACTGCAAATACAAATGTTCCCTGAAATTAACCTAAAATGACATTTAATCTATAAGAACATAATCTAGGCACCTGACTTCCTGAAAGCCTAAAATTGCCAAGAAGAAAAGAAAACAAAGCTAATATTCTAATGCAGAAGATTAAAATTAAATTTAAAAGCTTAAAATAAAAATCAAATATTCTGATGTAGAAGCTTAAAATTAAGTTAATTTTAAAATGTTTAAACAGTAAGAAAGAAAACAAGAATAAAGCAATTCTGAAATTAAATTCTAAATTAAAATGACACAATAAAAATTAATTAAAACTTTAACTGACGTGTAATTAGGCCGAAATGTCTTTCCAGAACCATTCAGTTGCAACAGAGATTCAATTATATCAGAGGAATGATTCAGTGGTGCAACTCATCTTTCCCAAAAGCCTGAAAACACCGTATCAGTAACACCAAAATAAACAGGTGTGACATATTTTAAAGGCTTTGATGAAACACGGCAATCAATGATTTTAAAAGTTTTCTGTTCACTGAAGTACCTATAATGTGTAGGACACACTGTTTTAGGCAATGGGGTGCAATGGTGAGTGAAACAGACATGGTCAGTGCCTTCATGTACTCCAATATTCCTCATTTCAGCTGGTAACTGGCATCTGGAATCAGCCTTGACTTGTCCTTCCTTCTCACTTCTAACATCCAAATAGTTAACGAGAGCTCATTTTACCTCCCAAATCCTTCTAACCTCCATCATGTCCACTCCACCTAGTTCCACTGCTCTAATTCACATCTTCTCATCTAAAGGTCTCCCTGACTCCCTTACCTACCTTCCAAATAGCCATCAGAGTTACCTAACTACCATGCAAATCTGGCTTTTGCTACAAAGCCCAACACTGCCCAGAAAAGAAGGTGCAAGCTCCTTTACATGGCATGTAAGGCCCTCTGTGATCTTGCCCTTGCTTACCTTTCCAGCTTCCCTCGTTATTCCCTTAACACACCATGCTCTTTCTTGTCTCAATGTTGTTCTTCATTTGTCCTCTCTGGCAGAAATGACCTCTTTCTACCTACCTCCTATTTATCATTTAAAGTTCAACTCAAGGATCACATCCTCCAAGAAACCTCTCACCTCCTAAGCTGGGTCAGGGGCTTGTCTTCTATAATCCTACATGACTCTGTATTTCTGTCAATGCACATAATCACATTGCATTTGTAATGACCTCTTTTTCCCATTGAATTGAACATTTCATATCTGAAAGATTAAAAACAAGTGCTCAAAGAATGTTTGTGGAAGGAAAGGAAGCACTGTGCTGGGTTATATGGGAAACAAAATTAAAGTCACAGGTGGTATCTATTGTATGAACACTGCTATAGAGCACAAGTCCACGAAGTTTTTCTGTAAAAGGACAAATAATAAATATTTTAGGCTTCACAGGCCAACAAGCAAAATGGAGGATATTATGTAGTTATTTATATAGCATGAAAGAAAAGCGTCCAATTTTTTACTAAGGAAACCGCCCCAAATAATTATAAGTTCAATATTTTGTTTATGAATGAAAGGAATGGGACTTTTTGGAGGAGGGGGAAAACATTTCACTTACTCTGGTTCAAAGTTAGTGTTTCCTATCATCAAATAGATTGCAAATATTCATCTATAAAAATCATTCTTGGCTCACTGAATACCCCAAAACAGACACTGGGCCAGATCTAGCCTGTGGGCCTTCGCCCCTTACTACCGCAGAGCTGACCCTTGAACAACACGGGTTTGAACCGCGTGGGTCCGCTTAGAGGCAGATTTTTTTCAATAAATACTACAGTACTACAGAATTCCCGTTTTTTTGAATGCACAAGCAGAACCCAACATGTGGAGGAACCTGGAAAAAGAGGAACCGCGCATATGGAGGGCCCACTGTAAGTTATCCTTCAGGGGAAGGTTGGGGCCCCTAAACCTCCCCCTCCCCCGCAGTGTTCAAGGGTCAGCTGTATAGGCAAAGGAGTACATAACTCTGCCTTGAAAGAAATCGTTTAAAGCTTTAGAAGGAAAAAGCGAGGCACAGGAACAGTGGTTTGCCAGATTAAAGTGAGGAACAGCATTAGAGGCAGGGGAGGGTAAGCAAGACAGAGCAAAGGCACGGATGCAAGTGATGTGAAAATGAATAGGAAGAAAATGATCAGGGAGAGGTTAGAGGCTGAGAAACTGGGACTAAATGAAAAACAGGTACTACTACATCACAATGCAGAATACCAAATGTATGCTATAAGTAACGTACGTAACACGGAGCGCTCAGAAGCGATTTTTAACTCTAACTGGGCGGCTGCCAGAAAGATTCAAAGTGTGCAATTCAGCTGGGCCTTTAAGTTTAACATTAAAACGAATTAACCATTTAACATGGGTGGGCACTGCAAACTGCGGGAACCTCACAAGCAAAGACAGAGATAGAAATCAGTCTAAAGGGGTGTGGCTTACTCCGGGGACTAATGACGGTGGACAGTAGGTGTAGACGTGACGTGACTGTAGAGGAGGAAAATCTAGGTTGAAGGTAAATTGCGGGGATCCTGAGAGGCTGGTTAAGGAGTTTAGCTATTCCGCGGAGACTGGGAAACCCCAGAGGAGCATGCTAGATACCAAGGAAGGCCCGATGTGAGTCTGGGCCACACCCATTGGGAACCCCCTTCACCTACCTCCGATGGGCCCGGAGGGTCCGCCGAGACTCCCCGGCCTCAAGGAGAAGTTCTTGGACTCCCCGGACTGTGCGCTAGAACATGCGGAAGGTCACGCGGATCCTGGAAGGAGCTGCCGAAACACGCCACGAACAGAACGGCGAGACGTGTCGCACGAAGGTGACGTGATGGCGTCCCGAGACGCACGCAGCCCTGGTGCGCAGGGGCGAGCCCTGGTGGGCGGGACGATGGGGAGGAGGAGGCATGGCCGGAGGGAGAGGCCGAGGCCTGGCGCTAGTGAACCAGAGCTGTAGGCGAAGGGACACTGTCTCTGTAGTACTGGAGCAGTAAGGATCTAGCAGCGGCGGGAAAATACCTGGAAGTCCCTCCCTGCAACAGCTTCACCGGTGCGGCACGTTTTTTGGCCGGAAACCGAAAGAATAAATCGGAAGTGACGTCGCGGTCAAAACAAGCCGGGGGGTGGGGCCCTGCAGTGAATCTGGCCCAGATGGAAAGGCCCGACTCGCTGTGGGCTGTCGAAGGCGGTCGCCAGGCCTTTCGCTCCCACACGGTCGGCCTCCGGCCCTTATCCCCGGGACCAGCCCGCTGCGGTTGAGCCAGAGTTTCCGCCCTCCCTACCCGAGCCGCGCTGGAATTTTTCGGGCAGAGTTGGCGGGAGGCGACAGAGCGGACTTCCCTCCCTGCAACAGTCTCCCCTCCAGCGGGTTCCTGTCCTGGGACGCCGGGACACCTGTGGCCTGTGAGGCATCATTCATTTTCATAGCACCTTCCTGTCCTTGTAGAACAACTCCAGGATGAGGAAGAACCGGGGGGCTCCTGTTACTAGCACCCACTGTGGATTAACCCAGTTACCCGTTTTATTTGTTAGGGTCTCTCTCCCCTTATCCCTGGGCTCTGACAGATTGAGGTGATCCTAGCTCTCCTTGGCCTTACCTCTTTTTCTCACCGCCTCCTCTTCTCGATCATCTTTTTTTTCCCCCCTTCCTCTCTTATACTTCAAAATTATGGCTTAACCAGTCAGTGTTGCTTCTTCTGTCTGGAGTGGTGCCAAGATAAGCGTTCTGTTTCGACTCCCTCCTCCCCCAAGTACATTTGCTCTTCTTCCCTCAAAGACTGGTAATTCCATTTCTAAACCCTGATTTGTAACATGGAAGATGTTTAGAATTGGACAGAATATTAGAGATACCTATTTCAACCATCTTCATCTTGTCTGAATAAAATGAGTCTTAGGAAACGTGTATGATTTCTCTGTCCAGGGTTGCACAGCTAGTTGGTAGTGATGTTGGGAACGGAAAGCCAGGTCTAATCAGCAGATGTTTGTTGAGCATCTTGCAGGCTCATTTCAGGGTAGAAAAGAATACGAAGCTTTGTTAAGGTTCAGATCAGAAAATATTTATGGAGTACGTGATAGAACCAAGCACTGTTTGTGTGCAGAAATTAGTAAGAGTGCCCCCCCATCCTAGAGGAGTTGTCAATTTATTAGGAGTTTAAATGGAAATTTTCAAGAGAGTGATAAATGCTAAAATAAAGATATATGCGGGTGCTGAGTGAGGTCAGGGGAGTTGCACTTCGCCCAACTCTGGGTAGGAGTCTGTGTGAGTTGGCTCTTCCCTCAGGAAACACAGTTCATATCTTGTAATATACTTTTAAAGACCTCTGCATTGCCCCTCCACCTCCATTTGAATCACAACTCATTTTCTGTTTTAGTCTCCTTCTTACCGTTTGCTGAAGTGTGTTGACTTTGTTACTTGTTAACATTATTATTAGCGTTTATTATTTCTTCAACTCTTTCTCCCTTGGAAGTTTTGGATTAGTTTAGTGCTGCTTTTTCTTTTAACGAACAGGGTGATGGAGTCGTGAGCTCCTCTTTTCTCTTCTCTGTAGTGAACATAATGATTACCTGCCCTGACTACTCAAAGAATTGTTATAAAGATCAATCTTGGAAGATGTTTTAAAACTGTAAAAGTGATTACCTATAAATGTATGATTTGCCAACCTTTGCTCCACTGTGGTCCTAATGCACTTTTCTCTGTTAGTTCCAATTAATTACAATTTTAAAACACCCTGCACCCTCAAAATTTCTGAGGCAGTAAGCCCTAACATGAAAAAATTAACTGGATGCTATTAATTTTCCTCTTGTCTCAGTGACTATATGTGTAAGACAATTATATGCCTTGGAGTTCTTCCTTTTTTTAGAAGCAATTTTAGGTACAATAATGAAATTTCTCTTGAAATTTTATTAAGGTCCATAGGAAAGTGCCAGTGATTACCTTACTGAAAACTCATTTTAAAACAATAGTAAATGATTCAGTAACAGGTGTGCTTCTAACCTCTGTTTTGAGAGTTCGCGTTTATTGAGTTCATGTCTTGACAATCTATATTTGGAAAAAAATGAATAATTCTAATTTCTTAATACTTATTATAAAAATTGGGACCAAAAATTATACTTAGATTATAATGTCCTAGAGATGCTAAAGCAAAGGAAGCCAGTCCATAATCTGTACACTTTATTTTTCATAAAAACCTGTATTAAGTTGCTAACACTTGATTTGAACAAAAACTGATTAATAAGTATGTTTTCCGTTCATCATAACCAAAACTTTGTAAAGCCTTTCACTATCCAGGAATCATGGATATTGTAGATGCTGATAGACTTGGGTACAACATGAGTTCTATCTTTTCTTAAATTCAAATTTTAACAGCATGTTAAAAAATAAACCTCAGATTAGAGGTTAAAGTTTTTACATGAAAGTTTATTTTTGTTGTTAGCCTGATTTTTAAAAAATCCATTTGGCAATATTCAGGAATAGGAAAGGGGAGAAAAGGATAAGTAAAATTTGTTGGGACCTAGTGATGGCGGTGAGAATGTTACTGTATTTCATTTGGTCTTTGCCAGGGTCCTGTGAGGTTACTGGTGTATACCCATTTTACAAGTGAGACTGAGGCTTAGAGAGGTTGAGGAGCTTGTACAGATTCACACAGCTAATAAATGGTGAAGCTTGGATTCAGACCCAGGTTTTTCTACCTCTGGAGATTGTATTCTTTCTATTATGTATAGTTGCTAATAAGAGCACTGTTTGCATACGTGATTGAAAATGATTATTTTGTATACATTAAGTTGATATAATACTTTTAATTTTTTTCTTTCAGATGTTTTAATACCCAAATTTGAAGAATACACTGTATGCCATTCTTATAAAACCAAGGGGAAATCATGAAGAAATGTTTTAATTATTGAAACTACAGTTGAAATCATGGCTACATCAGCAAATTTGGATATTGGAGCCCAGCTGATAGTAGAAGAGTGCCCCAGCAGTTACAGTCTAACTGGCATGCCAGACATTAAAATAGAACATCAGCTGGACTCAAATGCAGAAGAAGGATCAGCTCAGGGTGTTTCCATGGGGATGAAATTCATACTGCCTAACAGATTTGATATGAATGTCTGTTCTCGGTTTGTGAAGTCCTTAAATGAAGAAGATAGTAAAAATATTCAAGATCAAGTTAACTCTGACCTGGAGGTGGCATCTGTCCTATTTAAAGGTTGAAAGTTATGGTATAAATATCTGCATTTGTTTTGTTTTTGTTTATTTATTTTTTATTTTTTTCCCTTTCTGATCATGAGATTTTGAGTTTGCGAAGAGTTTGGAAGTCATCTTTAATTATGATTTTCTAGAATCTCATAGAAACCAAAATTAAATAATTTCATGTTATATAATGTCCATAAGTATATGTTGATTTTTACTTCTTCCTTGACCTTTGTTTATTTACAAATTCTCTAGTAAAGTTTATTATTGTACCTTTTAAAATTATAGGAGAAAAAAATTTTGTGCCTTTTGTAAATGAATTAACTCCATGAATATGTGATTGGCATTAGCTTCCAATGCTTTAATACAGTGAAATCTGTCATCATATTGTAGATTTACTTTTATAACAATCTATCGAATAAAAAAAACTAATCTCTGGATAAAATTGCTCAAGATTAATATTGATTTTTTTTTCTGGAACTTTTACTAGTACAGTTTTTTTTTTTTTTTTTTTTTTTTTTTTTGCGGTACGCGGGCCTCTCACTGTTGTGGCCTCTCCCCGTTGCGGAGCACAGGCTCCGGACGCACAGGCTCAGCGGCCCTGGCTCACGGGCCTAGCCACTCCGCGGCATGTGGGATCTTCCCAGACCGGGGCACGAACCCGCGTCCCCTGCATTGGCAGGCGGACTCTCAACCACTGCGCCTCCAGGGAAGCCCACTAGTACAGATTTTTTATGGCAAAAAAATAGTATCACTTGAGAACCAGTTAAAGATATTATACATCTTGTATTTCTTTTTTAATGTAAACATTGACATAGAACTTTGAAATGCTTTGTTATTAAAATATTGTTTTAATGTGTTTAAATTAATTTTACTTAGCTGAATGCAGTATCCATACATCTCCTTCTCCGGGAATTCAAGTAAGGCATGTCTACACTCCCTCTACAACAAAGCACTTCTCACCCATAAAACAGTCAACTACTTTAACCAACAAACACAGAGGAAATGAGGTCTCAACCACACCTCTGTTAGCAAATTGTAAGTATTTCCCACTGATGTATTAGAATATTGTTATTACTAATGTAATGATTTCAAGAGTTTGGCTTTGAAACATTATTTTCATTAAATGCATATTCTGTTTTGGAAAGCTTAAGTGATGTCCTGATAGTTTTAGTAATTTAAAACTCACATATTATTGCATATTCAAATATTTCATGTTTTATGTTTCTCTGTTGAGAACAAATACAGATTGAAATATTCTTAAAACCTTCATAATTTTACTATAAAAACAATGAGTTATTCTGAACTTTGTGCAAAGCAAGACATTGTGTTTTTGTGTTCTTGGAGTGCATTTTATAAACTAGATCACTGATCAACAAATGATTTGTAGTAAAAGCTGAGCGATGTCTACTATAATTTCGAATTTGAATGTAATATGAATATGAAATCACCTCTTTAAAAACTTTGAATTTACAATTTTTTAATGTAGAATTATTCTAGAAGAAACAAAATGAAGGGTTTTCTCTGTAAACTAGAAAATATTCTATATAGTACGGGTTTCTTAATGAGAGGAAACCAGTTAGCAATTTGATGTTAGGAATTATATTTGAGAATATAACATAAATGCATCTGTATTCTAAAGCATGGTGAAATATATGTTTTTACTTTGGAAACACTGTGTCCCTCCTGATTTTGAATTGTATGCTGTAGTAGGTAAGCCAGAACGAGTTCATGACTCTAACTCTACCTAAGAGCCATTTCTGTTTTATTTATGTAAATTTGCATATGCCTCCCAATTGCTTTCCTTTCTGTATTAAGGCCACCCAGTCATATCATCCTAAATCAAGGATCATGTGATACTGATTTTTAAGATGAACTGTCATAGAACAGTACCTGTTTGGCTTTGTTTTAAAATAAAGAGATTGTCTTAAAATATTCCAACCATAGAATTTTTTTTTTTTTTTTGGCCACGCCGAGAGTCTTAATGGGATCCTAGTTCCCTGACCAGGGACTGAACCCCGGGGCCCCGCAGTGAAAGCGCCGAGTCCTAACCACTGGACCACCAGAGAATTCCCCAACCATAGAATTTTAGGAAAAAAAAACTAGGGATCATGTGGTTCACATACTTCATGTTAGACAAAAATGTTTAATCAGGTCTCCAGGGTCACACAGCTAATTAGCCACAAATAGGTCTGTACTCAAGAATTTCCTGTCAGCTAGTTTTTAATTTACTATCTTAGTCCTCCAAAAGTTAAGAAATACCCATGGCCTCTTGAAATAATGATATTTGGGACTTAAATGAATACAGTCAATTAAAAAACAAGAGTCTTTTAGACCCAACTTCCTTATAAGTTTGGATAAAGAGATACCATGTTAAAAATTAAGTACCTAAACCATTTCTTTAATTCATAAGATCAGTAACAATTTGCATTGTTAATAATCAAACAATTTGCACATTCACTGATAATAACACTTTGCAGATGTCAGAATTACCTTAAACATATATGAGTCAATTCTCAGACTCTTAGATATTTAAGGTAATTCTGACATCTGCAAATGTTAGGCTATATTTTAAGTTAGATTTTTTTAGACAATAAAATGATAGTTCGTGTTTTGGAAAGGAAAATTGCTACACAGGCATGAACAATGAGATGATGAAAGTGTACCTACAGATATACATGAAACTTTTTATGGTATTGTTTCAGCTTTGTCTGTTCACCAGTTGGCTGCTCAGGGAGAGATGCTCTACCTGGCTGCTCGTATTGAACAAGGTACTAGCCTATTTTTTTAGATGTATTTAAAACAAATTTAATAGGATTTATCAGATTTGTTATTGTTTTCTTTTTATACAAGAAAGTATAAAGACAAAAAAAAAATAGTTGCATAACCTCACCAGGCAGATAACCCAATAGATACTTTAAAAAAAAATAGTGATATAAGATATAGAAGTTAAAGCTTCCCTTACCACCCTCGCCTTTTCTGCAGAAGCAAACATTATAAGTTTCTTATATTTTCAGAAGACTTTTCTGGAAAATATTTATACTTGGGGCAATATGTGAGAGTATAGTATATATGTGCTTTTTTTTATTTACACAAGAGGGAAAATATACACACTGCATTGCGCTTTACTTTTTTCACTTAAATTTTGAGATCTTTCCATATAAGCACATAAAGATCTATTTCATTCTTTTTAATAGGTCTGTGATTTTGCATTGTATTGCATATGCATATACTATGTTTTTTATTTTTAACTAGTTCCCCTGATGGTAGTTGATTCCAGTTTATTTCTATTAAATAACAATATTGTTGGCATTCTTTTAAAGTATATCCATAGGGTAAATTCCTACAAGTATATTTGCTGGGTCAAAAGGTATATGAATTTTTATTTTTATATACATTGCCAGATGTTTGCCCTGTCCTCACACCAGAGTTAGTGTTTCTACTTCCCCATACCCTCACTGACACAGAATATTATCAGACTTTAATCTTTGCTAATCTTATGGGTGAAAAATGGTATTTCATACTGGTTTTGTTTGCCTTTTTAAAATTATGATCTATTTGAATTTCTTTTTGTGTTAACTGCCTGTTTTATATTGATTTATATGAACTCTTACCTAAATTAAAGAAGTTCACTTTTTGTTTATGTTGAATCTAGTTTTTTCCCAGTTTGCCATTTTTCCTTTGACTTTATGATGTTTTCAAACACAGGCTTAACATTTTTAAGTGGTAAATTTATTTTTTTCTTTGTGACTTCTGAGTTTTATATCTTGCTTAGAAAAGATTTCCTATTCCAAGATTATAAATAAGTTCACTCATACCTTATTCTAGAACTTCTGTGGTTTCCTGTTTACATTTCAATCTTTGACCCATGTGGAATATGTTTTGGTGTAATGAGGTAAAGGTGGAGCTTAACTTTTATTTTCATTTTTCAAAAAGTTAGCCAATTGTCCCAACATTATCAATTGAATGCAGGGCATATGATTAAAGAGTGGCTTTTTTTTTAATCATGTCATTCTTTTATAAGAAAGACTTCATCATTATATTCCTATTTGTTTATAAACATTTGAAGGTTTTATTCTCAATCTACTATATAAATTTAGGGAAAAAACTGTGGACTTTATACCTGGTAGACTGAATCTAGGGAACAAAATGGGTTTTGAGGTAGAATTGCATAGAATTGTGTTTCAGATTATTCAGTCTTCATTCATATTATATTATGTTAGCAAACCACCAAAAATTTTAAGAGACTCAAAGGCAGCAGTATTGGCTAGAGAGTAAAAATAGCTTTACTAATTTGGGGCTTTTTATAATATGTATTTATGTAATGCTAAGGGCTATCGTATAACCTCATTTTTATTGTGATCCTCCCAGCTAACTACTGAGATAAGCAAGGTATTATTCTGGATATTAGAGGAATTAAATGACATGCCCAGAATCACACTGCTAGAAAGTGACAGTCAGGATTCAAACTCTGGTCTCCTGATTCTGTGTCCAGTGTTCTGTGGACTGCCCTGTACCTAGCATTATGTTGTGTCTGGTAGTTTATACTTTAAATAATGTGCTATTTGAACTCAGCTACGTACCTTGAGGCACAGTTTAATGCATTGAGACTGGAAATTGCAAAGACACACAGCACTTCAGTGAACACAAGTCAGCACAAACGTGAACCTCATTGGGTAATATAGTCACCTTTTTAGAATGCCAGTATTTTCATAGAGATATTAATATGTGGTTGTTAAATTAGATCACAAAAATTGCTTTTCTTTTAAATAGAAAATGTTATCAATCACACGGACGACGAAGGATTTACTCCTCTGATGTGGGCTGCAGCACACGGGCAAATAGCTGTGGTAGAGTTTCTACTTCAGAATGTAAGGAAAATGCCTCAGAAAATGTATATGTACAGTTACTTAAGTTCAGTTAAGTATTTAGTAAAGTTTTTACATCTCCAGCCAGCTAGACGTAATGGTAGAGGATCCAAAAAATGTTTACATGCTCTTCATATTCTTGTGGAGCTTGCATCTGGTTGAGCAGGCAAGTGTAGTCGTCCATGAAGCTGGAGAGAGAAGTGAGTGCCCAGCCCTGCTAAGCACGATGGGAACAAAAGTCCTGTCAGCCCTGTAGGAGAAGCTTCTTGGAGAAGATACAATTTGACTCCAAAGTGACAAGATAGTTAGGATTGAGGTAGAGGGAGGAAGGCAGGCCTCCAGACAACCTTGATAACAGAACGCCCAGGAGTAGAAGTTTGTGTTCTTTCTTTATTAACCCCAGAACATTACCTGACCTAAGTGTTGAACTGTAATTATTATTGACAGAAGTAACAATATTCTTGTTTTCATAAACTGAAAAGTCTTTTATCTCTATTTCCCACTGCAGGGTGCTGATCCCCAGCTTTTAGGAAAAGGTCGAGAAAGTGCACTGTCATTAGCCTGTAGTAAGGGCTACACAGATATTGTCAAAATGCTGCTGGATTGTGGAGTTGATGTAAATGAATATGACTGGGTGAGTCTGTAATACTGATTTTTAAATTACTGGAACAAACTCTAGGATTTATTTGGTTTGGGGAGACACAATAAGCTTTATTAAACCCTTGGAAGAATAATTAATTACCTTAGTTAATTAAACAGCTGGGAGAAAAAGTTAATGTCCTAAACTCAATTATTAGTTCTGATTAAGTATTCTTCACAAAATATTAAAATTACCTTAAACTACTTTTACATGCCCAATTCACAGGAGCATTAAATTATTTGAATCTTGCTCACCTTGAAAAACTAAATCACCTTTCCTTTTGCAGAATGGAGGGACGCCTTTGCTTTACGCTGTACATGGAAATCATGTGAAATGTGTAAAAATGCTCTTAGGTAAGCAGATAAAAGTGGAAATATTTAGAAAACGCCACATGAAGACATTATTTTTTACAAGCTAGCCTCAAGAGAATCCTGAACTATTATTAAATACGTTATTCACCCCTGGCGCACCTGCTGCCCTAAGGTTCCCATGTAAGCCGTAGCTCCATCACACAGCACGCCTGCAATCGCAGTATCTGTCCTTATTGCTTCCTTTTAGGGATCACATGTGAATCCTCGGCTCTTTTCTCTGTCCACAGTGTCTTTAAGCCTGAGTGCTGTCTGTAGTGGTGTATTAGTTTCAGTTGCTCTAGAGGATGCCTGTATGTTTGAAGTGTCTTCCCTCCGACCCACCAGAGTGAATTCTATGCCCTCTGTGTACTCTGTACTTTGTCAGACCATCCTGAAAATACCTTCCAAATTTGCAGAAAATCTGTCCCGCTAATTGCGCATGAGCCAGTGATAGACAAACATATCCATATTTTCATTTTATTTATGTAGATTTTTCTGTTTTGGTATAGAAAATGGAGCTGACCCAACAATTGAAACCGACTCTGGATACAATTCTATGGATCTAGCTGTAGCCTTGGGCTATAGAAGTGGTAAGTGGTTTAGAACTCTCAGGTTTCATTTTAGTAAAGTTATATAATAATACAAACCAGTGGTCCAAACTATTCTCATCACTTGCAGTTATAGAACATGCATGTTATCCTAACTCCTGACATATACTTTCAACTGTGGGCAAAATCAATAGATTCCTACAAAGTCTAGAAATGAGTTTGTTACTATTACTTTTCACCATCCCAAATAATTAGTTGCTGGAGGATACGTGTACACCTATTTACAAGATGTGTTTAACATTTCACAGCAAACTATTTATAAAATGCTTTATAGTTGCCCTTTCTCTGTTCCTTAGAACAACCTTGTATTCTGGACTCTCCTTCAGTTTCAAAATTTAGAAACCAAGAACAGAAAACCCAGTAACTTGGACAATTACTAAAGTCAGTGACAGACTAAGTTTGAAGTATTGCACTGTAATCTTATTGCCCTCAGACTATGATTATACCCTAATTAGAAATTATTTTAGGAAAATGTTGGTGATGTTAAGTTGAATTTGATAGTTTTTAAAAATTTTGTAATCAACACGCTGTTGTCTTGATCACATGTGTGTTCTAGTTCAACAGGTTATTGAGTCACATTTACTGAAACTGCTTCAGAACATCAAGGAGTAGACATAGTCATCAGAAAGTGTTGTCTGCCCTTCCGTTTACTTTTGGCCCTTATAAATGATAGTTTTGTTTACTTATAAATTTTTACCTCAGTTGCAATATTGACTGATTTTTAGTAAGTTTTAATAAATATTCCTCTGAGTAATTCACTGGTTTATAATAAAATTAATGTTGATGCTTTTTTATAAATGTGTTTTACCGCATATTTAAAATTATAAATGAGTGTTTTGTGGCATGTAAATTTTTATGGTACAGATAGTTATCTGTGTTTGTATCAAGTGCTGTAATTTAACATTTTTGGAAATTATTCTGCCCTATTCATCTTCACTCTTGTATTAACTCATTGACTTTTTATAGAGTTTGCTATAAATCCATAGGAAAAAAATTTGTTATTATTGAATTTAAAAATGCACAGTGTGGTTGTTTACAAAATGGTATTATAAATGAATAAAGTACTTTTCTTCTGTTAGTTTGCATGCAGGTTGTTCTTTTTACATTGCGTAAGATTATTAAGGTATCTCTTTGGGATTTTTAGTTTAACCCTTCTGTCCTGCCAGGATACTCCATTAGATCAAACAATATAATTAAAATAAACCGAATGTTAATTAGTCAACAAAGACTTATTGATTGTCATTTCTAGAAGTATATTGAGAATATTTTAACCTTGTGAGTAAGTTTTCAGTAGGAAAAGCCCTCTGTGAAAGAGAACTCATTTCTTCAATAAAAGTCAGATGCTCTTTCCACTAAATTCCACTAAAGGAGCATTATAAACTCGTGCTACACCAACATCTGGAAGAGAGCCACGAGCTAGAAGTTGACATGACCACTGAGCGTGGGACTTGGGTTAAACCACTTCATCTGGAAGATAGGTGTGATGGCAGTTATGACAGTTGGGTTGTAAGCCACATAAACTTGATCTAGCTAATTTAAGCAAAAAGGAATTAATGGAAAGTCACAGAATGGAAGGAAAAGCTGAAGAAGCAGGCAATTCCAAAGGGATGAAACTAGGCCAGGGATCTCAATCAGGAAGTCATGGCCAGTCATTTTGGATGCCGCTTTGGTAATGCTTAAATCCCCTTGTTTATCATTCTGCTCGGGATTAAATTTTCCAGGAGGCAGAAATCTACTTAGCATGGGATATAAATGCACCACTGTATGGAGTTGAGGGGAGAAGGGGATGACTGGTTAACAACCCACCATTGCCCCCAGACCACCTGGAAAGCAGGAGGCCTAAAGGAAAACGACAGGAAGAAAAAAATGATAGATGTTCACTCCAAAGGCAAGCTAAATCATACGTGAAAATAGTACTAATGCTTCCCCCCTTGTCAGGCATATGCTTTAAATTGATTTTACCTAAAACCATTCACCCGTCCATTTGGTTCCTTTTCTTATTGATGGCACATTATCCATGAAGTGTTTGTTACTTCCTGTTCATATTATAAAGTAACAAAATCCAATGATCCCTTTGGGCACATCACTCAGTATTGTTTGCAAGTGCTCTCCGCAACTGAACAGCAACCAAACAACCTATGCTGGGATTGACTCTAAAATAACCACTCCTAATCGGACTCAGGTCGACAGCCAACAGATCTCAGAGAATATCTTGAACAAAATTCCCCTTTCCTATTCTATCACCTTTTAGCCTCGGGGTCCCTGATAACAAACCCCAGAAAAATCCCTTAAGAAATAGACACAGTTAATTAAAACAACAGGAATGATACTTATGGGCCAGTTCTGAAATTCCTCTTTTAAAAATTAAGTACCTTGGACTTCCCTAGTGGTGCAGTAGTTAAAAGAATCCACCTGCCAATGCAGGGGACACGGGTTTGAGCCCTGGTCTGGGAAGATCCCACATGCCGTGGAGCAGCTAAGCCCATGTGCCACGACTGCTGAAGCCCGCGCACCTAGAGCCCGTGCTCCGCAACAAGAGAAGCCACCGCAATGAGAAGCCCTCGCACCACAACAGGAGAGTAGCCCCTGCTCGCCACAACTAGAGAAAGCCCATGCGCAGCAGCGAAGACCCAACGCAGCCAAAAATAAATTTATTTTAAAAAAAATCAAATACCTTTTAGGTAGTGTTAATTGATTGCACAAAAACTTATTTAGAGCTTATGTACCAGACACTGTGCTTGATGTGAGGATAAAATACTGAGCAAAAATAGACACAGTCGTGCTGTCAAGGCATTCACTGCCTAGTACAGTACTAGGGCTCATTACTGCCACAGAGTGAAATACACTAACAATAATTTTCAAAAAGTTTAAAAACATTATTCTATGTAAATATAAATTGAACACCTGTCAAAGATTTTATTCAACTAATTGGTAAGGAAACCAGTTAGATGTTAAAACTAATTCCAAGAGCTAGATATTTTAGGCAATGTTAATATAAGCTTGCTGAGTTAGACACAAATCTGATGGACATCCAACAAGGCCATAAACCGTAACCTTTGAGGCTATCTTTTCCACTGGACAGAAATTACTGGCATCTCTATAGTATAGAAATCTACAAACTAACACGTGACTTCACTAAATCCGGTACTTTTAGTCAATAGTAAGCAGAGAGTTGAACTAAGTAGTTTTCCCCAGATTAGTGGTTCTCAAATTTTAGTGTATATCAGAATGATCTGAGGGCTTTTTGAAAATATTGATTGCTGAGTCCCACCTACAGAGTTTCTGATTCAGTCAGTCTGGATTGGGACTCAAGAATTTTAATTTCTAACAAGTTTCCAGGTGATGCTGGAAATGGACTATCCTTATGTGAACTTGAATTCATAAAATGTTTCCTAGCTAATGATTTCTGTAAGAAAAATATTTTTCTTAATACTCTAGCACACTAAATACCAGAGGAGATTCAGTTTCTTTATCTTCTGGGATTTGAGGGAATATTTGATTCATGTAAGTGACTATCTTTATAAACCAATCTAGTTTTTTAATACCCTCCAGTGTTAGGAAGATATTTCTCTTACACAACAAGAGGTAAAGGTCTTTCTTAATTATAGACATGCAGACACACAAACAGAGGGAGAGCGTCTAGCTTTGTCTATTAGCTACAAATCAGAAGTGAACCAGAAACAAAAGCTTAGAGTTATTTTTCTTCCAGTGAGCACGTAGTTCTTAATTGATTTAAGGTTGCAAATAGAAAAATAGATTTTTTTAAAAAGAGCAAAAACAAAAAAGAAAGAAGACTACTAAGTGGATTCTCTGTCATCTTCCACCCAACAGAGAACAGGTCTTCATTATACACCCATCAGAGATCACCAAATAGTCAGACCATAAGAGCAAATCCCCAATCATTGCTGACACCAATTCAGACTAACTTACTGAAGGTGTACAAGCCAGACATAAAAAAAAATACGTAATATCAGCAGAAAAAGAAAAAAAGAACTAGAGAGTCAGAAAATTTAAAGTTCTGTTGCCACCCAGTATTCACTTCAGAAGCCAAGAAAAGATGTGCAAGCAAATAGATTTAATTTGTCTCCGTTGGGTTAATCCCCTCAAACATCTCAGTGGATGACCTTCAAAACTGATCAAATATAATTTTCTAAAGGTTACATGACTCATGCGAATAAAATGAACACATGACAAAGATTTAATTCAATTTATTAACCGATGATGTAACCGAAAGTGGGGTCCAACTGCTCACTGCTCAATAAAGAGGCAAGGTTGGTGGAAAGGAAAGTGTGCTTTATTTTGGATGTCGGCATCCGGGGTGGGGGGTGGGGGGTGCAGACTCCTGTCCAAAGGCCGAATCCCACCACCTACAACCAGGGAGCAAGAGCTTTTATAGATGGAAGCAGGGAGGGGGCTACATGCAGAAACAGCACCGACAGCTCTGACAGGCATCTTGAAATTGGTCATCGGTGGTCTGACCAGCGTCATCTTAAGTACAATTAATCTTCAGTTCCAGGGTCGGTTTGTTCCCATTTTCTTGAGGCCAATTCTTGGAATTGTGGCAGCTTATGTCATGGCTACAGTCTGGTCATCATGTAGTTAATTTCTTCCACCTGATGGGGGTTTCAGTCTCTATAAGACAGCTCACAGGATATGGCTCAGAATACTATCTATATTGCCCTTGAGGAGGAACTAAAGTCCTTGACTATGATGCTTAATGACTAAACTATTATTATTGGTCTCCTTTTTTTTTTTAACATCTTTATTGGAGTATAATTGCTTTACAATGGTGTGTTAGTTTCTGCTTTATAACAAAGTGAATCAGCTATACATATTATTGGTCTCCTTTGACTGTTTTCCTTTGTTTCTGCATTTTCTCACTTCTCTGATTAAACTTATTCTTTGGCTAAAGTTTTTTCACAGACAAAAGGCAGGCTGTGGACACGAGGCGGCGGGGGGGGGGGGGGGGGGCGGGGGCGGGGGGAAGGACCATAGTGTCCTGCTCCGTTTCAATGAGGAAACCAGTAAGATATGAAAACTGGCTCTAAGAGCATTTGAGAAGCTGAGCATTTTTAGCAATGTTAAGATAAGAGTGCTGGGTTATAGACAAATCTGACTGTTGTCCAACAGGGACAGAAATTATCATTTGGGTGATTTTTTACACAAGACAGAAATTATTTGCTTCTCTACCAGACAGAAATATCCAAATTAACATGTAACTTCACTAAGTCTGGGACCTTGAATAAATAGTAAATGGTGAATCAAATTACATTTCTCTAGGTAATCCTTGGGTGGCCTTCATCTCACATGACATTGAAAAAGGATGTGTGGCCATGACCCTTTTTAGTACTTCAGTGAAAGCCAGCCTGGGAATAAGGTAATCACCTTTGTAATGGCTCTTCTGTCATCAGCTGACAGGTAGACTAATATAAGCCTCCTAGTGTTGGTGACAACGCCTCTCTCACATTCTCCTCCAGACTAGACCATGTAATTCATTTTCACTTTCACTTTCACTTTTTCCATGGTGAAAGAAGCTGTGAACCAGAGAGCTCAATGAAAAAGGTTAATCATTTTAATATTCTTGAACTTTCAAAAAATATTGCCAATAGCTTGAAGAAAATGTTTGTTTTTATGGAAGATGTAATGGAGGATGTTAATCATTAAACTATAAAGATTTTTAAGGTTTATAGCTTTGCATTTTCTCTAAAATCCAGTTAGCCTACTGATTTTAGAAAACACTATGATTTCATTACCATTTCCTGTCTCTTTATCCATACCTAAAGTTAAAACTTTAAATTCTTTTGTTAGAACAAACTGGTTGTATATTAATACACTATATATTTACGTTTCATGCAAGTTATATCATTGAATATTTATATTTCCAGTAGGTGGCACTGAATGCACTTCTGTTAGGTGGTTTCCTGTGTGATAGATAAAATGTTTACAAATCTGATAGTTGTAAAGAGAAAAAAAATAGAATGAAAGGCAGGAAAAACTCTGGCTATTATAAAACCCTTAAAGTAAGTGTCCTTTCTCTTTAATATTCAGATTTTTTTCTGACAGTCCTTCTCAGATTTACATACCTAATAAGAGTTTCAAAAGTTCACCGCCTTACTCCTTTGTAGTGGATACTCTTGATAAAACTCGGGATGGCAATAGTAAGTTTTCACATTTTTTTGTTGCTTAGAAATTTTTACAATACGTATAGATTGGTTTTAAAATAACAATAAAGATATGAAAAAGGACTGTAACATGATTGAAACTTTTTTAGGTGTGTGTTTAGACAGGAGATGCAACCATTTAAGAAAAGGGGTACAGCCCACAGATATCTGTGTAAATGTTTTTTGATTAAAGTAAACTTCAGAGGTTTACGGTCTGCTGTGTAGATTTTCCTCTTCAGACAGTAAAGCCTTTTCTGAGCTGTGTAATAGGAGCTGGTGCACAAAAACGCGATCCACCTGCATTATTATCATGTCAGTGATGGGAAGCATGAAATTATTATTGGTGATTTTATGCTCTGTGGGATTGAAACTACGATTGGATACGTAATTATTACACTGAGAACAGACCCTCCCAAACTCACTGCCTGCTGAATTTTCCTCTCTGTGAAATGGAGTACAGACCACTATGATACATTTGCCCCACGTTTTATTTTTTATTCATAAATTCAGTGAAATTGTTCATTCAGATTCACTCATGTTAGTTTATGAACCTGGGAAGTATCTTAAACTTGTAGATGTTTCTGTTATTTTCCTTCTTCACATTCCCCGAGAATAGTTGGATATATTACATATCCCAGAATCAATTTGTGGAAAGTATCTTGAATACCTTCTTGGTGCTTAATTGATTTTATGTTCACCATCTCTCCTCCAAAAGGTTAAATGTTTGAAACAAGAAATTTCCTCTAACAGTTATTCAATCCTTCGACACACATTTATTGAGCCCATACTCTGTGCTGATTTGGACTGGGCCCCAGGGATGCAGTGGAGACCCACACAGACCCAGTGCCCTGCCCTGCCCTGCAGATCTTACATAATGATCTGCATACCGAGCGAGTGTGGCTCTGCTAAAAATCATCTCCCCTCATCCCATACATCCTGAGGACAAGTTAAAAATGTCATGTACTCAGATGAATGGATAAAGAAGATGTGGTACATATAGACAATGAGTGCAACATGGATGCAACTAGAGATTATCATACTTAGTGAAGTAAGTCAAAAAGAGAAAGACAAACACCATATGATATCACTTATATGTGGAATCTAAAATATGACAAATGAACCTATCTATAAAACAGAAACAGAATCATGGCCATAGAGAACAGACTTGTGTTTGCCAAGGGGGAGAGGGTTGGGGGAGGGGTGGAGTGGGAGTTTGGGATTAGCAGATGCAAAGTATTATATATAGAATGGATAAACAACAAGGTCCTACTATACAGCACAGGGAACTATATTCAATATCGTATAATAAACCATAATGGAAAAGAATATAAGGAATGTATACATATGTATAACTGAATCACTTTGCTGTACAGCAGAAATTAACACAACATTCTGAATCAACTATGCTTCAATTTAAAAAAATGTCATGTACTAATTGAAGTATGTTCAAGGCTCAAATATGTCTATTACTGGGTTTCCCATATACCACTTGTTCTGCTGTGTCAAAACATCAGTGCTCTTATTGACACAACAGAAACTCCTATGTCCTGAGGGGAACCAGAGGGCCCAGAAATTTAGAGTGATGGAAGAAAGGTCCATTCCAAGGGCAGCTGGTTCTCAATTGCCACGGTGGAATTATCTGGAGAGGTTTAGAAAACACTGAGGCTTGGGCTTCCCTGGTGGCGCAGTGGTTAAGAATCCGCCTGCCAATGCAGGGGACACAAGTTTGATCCCTGGCCCGGGAAGATCCGACATGCCTCAGAGCAACTAAGCCCGTGCGCCACAGCTACTGAGCCTGTGCTCTAGAGCCTGCGAGCCACAGCTACTGAAGCCCACACGCCTAGAGCCCGTGCTCCTCAGCAAGAGACGCCACCGCAATGAGAAGCTTGTGAACTGCAACGAAGAGTAGCCCCCGCTCGCCGCAGCTAGAGAAAAGCCTAGCTGCAGCAACGAAGACCCAACGCAGCCAAAAATAAAATTAATTAACTAACTAAACAACAACAACAAAAAGAAAACACTGAGGCCTGCCCTCTGCCCTCCACCCCAGAGAGTCTGATTTATCAATCTAGGATGCCGTATGAGGATATATAATAGATTTCCACGTGATTCTAATGTACAGTCAAGGCTAAGAACCCCTACTCTAGGGGCGATTAGCTCCTGGCTGGTGGAACCAGCATATTCCAAACCACATCCTAACATTTGCCTCTCACATTGCCATCTTGTCTACAAAGAACCTTATGAAAGAACCTAGTTTATCCTTTCTCTCTGGCCTGTTGGTACCTTCTCTGATTTTTTTGGTAAAGATAAACATGTACCCTTTTAAGCCTATGTGACAAAATAAAGAATTTTGAAACCCTAATCTTACCTTTTGTAATTCACCTTGTTGTTCAGCAAGTTGTTAGCTGTGACTCAACATCCTTTATTAACCTGCATTTCTTAAAGACAGAGCCCATATGTGATGCCGTGTGACTGTTTATCTTGCTTACCTTTTGGATAAAAAGGAGTCCTGAGCGTCCAGGACAGCAATTTGCACCCACAAATACCAAAGAGCTTATCTTGTTATTCCTTTGTTCTAGGATTTCCTTGGAGACATGGGTGTTGACTGAAGCACTGGCCTCCAGAACCCATGCCAGCTCACAGGGGTCACAAGGCCAGGTAACGCCTCCTCCATCATGCATGCCTGTTATGAAAACCTTTTCCTCTTAGTTGGCTGTCCTGGTGTTTGCCCCTCTTCCAAGGAGACTGTCAACAAGAATTAAGTCAATTGCATGTACCCCTGTCTCAGTGAGCCCCTTCCTCAGAGGCCCCCTCAGCTGAGTCAGGAACAGCATGTCAGTATTTAAGCAAGAGCCCATCCACCTAACCAAGCCAGAGTTTGGCCTGTTCAGAAGATAAACCACTCTCTCTGCGCCATTCCAGATTCTTCTTTTAAAGATAGTGTTGCCTTGCCTATGTTGATGAGATGTTATAGGACCCTTCCTGAGAGAGCATTGTGTACTTGGTCAGCTTTCACGTAGCCTCCTACTTGGGGAGAAATCAAATATATCAACCACTATTGTCTGCGAGAAAGAGCCTAGCACAAATGTCAAGCTTTGTGCTGGCTGCTGGGGTCACGGTCACTGTGCCTCAATGCGATACAGATTAACTAACAACAAAGCACTATGAGATAATAGATAACAAAAGCCATTGTCAAGCAGGAATAAACTGGAGGAAGAAAATTACTTCTGTGGCTTTAGGAAGCAAATGTCAAATCACTAATACTTAGGCATTTTAAAACATTGATCTTTATTACTTTTCTGAATATAAAAGTAATGTGTACTTCTTGTATCTGTTGTTAGGATGCTTTTAGCTATCAAATAAGACCCACCTAAGATGGCTTAAATAAATAAGTGAATGTATTTGTTCACATGAAGAGTTAGGTACACTTCAAGGTTGGTTCATAGATAGCAGCTTAACAATGCCAAGTAAGACCTGGATTCCTTCAGGCTCTGCACTCTGCTGGCCACAATTCAGCTTCATCCTAAGTCTGGTTGCCTGCGGGTCATAGTGTGACTTCCAATAGCAGGGGCCATATGCTTCCTCGTTTCTGTCCAGTCCACTGAGAGAAAAAGGTGTCCCATACCCTCTTCCAATAGTGAGGAAGAACTTCCCCAGAAAATCTCTCTCCTAGTTTTATTTCCTGCAATTGGGTCACATGCTCATTTCTGAACCAGTCATGGAGATTGAGATTACCCTAGTACCCACCAGTCATGCCCATTCAACTGAGAGTCAGCATCTTGTGTAGCACCTGGGCTGAGTGGGGAGAAGCATTGGCCTTCCATTAAGAAGGAGAAAGAGGAACAAATACAATACACATGAAATTCACTTTGGAGAGCCCTGACCAGTCACCTTAAGTAGATAAGCAAAAGAATAATACAGAACTAGAAAGCTAACAGAGAAGATAAAATGGAATGATAAAAAAAAAATACTTGATTGATTCAAAAGAGGGCAGGAAATGAGAAATATGGGAACAAAGAATAGATGATAGACTTAAATTCAACATTAAATGTATGAGGACTAAACATTCCAAGAGACTGGACTAAGGAAACCAAGCAAGAATCACCTATTACTATTTTAAAGAAACATACTTTAAGTATAAAGATGTAGATAGATTGAAAGTAAAAAGATAGGAAAAGACACCATCAAACATCAACCAAAAGAATGTTGGTGTGGCCACATTAATGTTGGCACAAGGAACTTCAGGGACCTAGGCTGGCCAAAACTTGAAGAAGAACAATGTAGAAAAATTAAATTACCAGATATCAAGACTCACTGTAAAGCTACAATGATTAAGCCAGGTGTTGACAAAACAAATAAACCCATGGAACAGAAGAGAGAATCTAGAAACAGATGTGTACATATATATCACTGATTTACACAAAGGCACCACTGCAACTCAGTGGAGAAAATAGTATATTTTTTTTAACCAACAGTGCTGGGTCATTAAATATCATTGTGAGAAAAAATTAAGTTTCAGCTTTCACATCTTACTACAAAATTAACTAGAGATGGATTACAGGTCTAGTTAATTTTGAAGGAAAACGTAGGAGAATACCTTCATGATCTTTGAGTAGGGGAAGATTGTTCATCAGCCCTCCATGGTTTCTAACTTTTTAATCTTCTTCATTCTAATGATTTAAAATGGTAGCTTGTTTCCATTTTAATTTACAATTTTTTAATCACAAGCGAGGCTGGACACCTTTTCACAAGCTAAGCCACTGGTTTTTCTTTTAAGTGTTCATTTGTCCCACTTTTCTGTTAGGTTATTGCTCTTTTTCCTATTAATTTTTAAAGTTCTGTATATACCAAGGAATACTTCTTAATTTTTAAAGACTTTATTTTTAGAGCAGTTTTAGGCTGACAGCAAAATTGAGCAAAGGTACAGAGATTTCCCATATACCATTGTCCCCACACATGCACAGCCTCTCCCCTTGTCAACATCCCCACTGGAGTGGAACGTTTGTTACCCTTGATGAACTTACATGGACCCATTATAATCACTCAAAGTCCATAGTTTACATTAGAGTACACTCTTGGTGTTGTACATTCTATGGGTTTCGACAAGTGTGTAATGACATATGCCCATCATTATGGTATCATACACAGTATTTTCACTGCCCTAAAATATCTTCTATGTTCTGCCTATTCATCCTTTCATCTCCCCTAACCCCTGGTAACCTAGCAAATGGAATTCTATTCCTTGAAGAAGGAAGCCCTACTACTTGCAAATAATAAAGAAAAGAGCTACTGATACCAGAAGAAAAGATGAAATACTAAGTAACAATTTAAAAAATTTTATTTTTTAAATATTTATTTGTTTGTTTATTTATCTGGGGGCACAGACGCACAGCTCACAGGATCTTAATTCTCCTACCAGGGATCGAACCTGCACCCCAGCAGTGAAAGTGCCGAGTCCTAACCACTGGACTGCCGGGGAATTTCCTAAAAAATAATTTTAGATGCATTTGGAGGTTGAAATTTTTAGAATGAAACCCTGTCTTATATTTAGTAATCAATAAAAATTTCCTCATGAGGTGGTCTGTAAAAAGTTCTTTTCTGAGATATCTGGCTTTCAAAGTTTGATGCTGTTCCTTAAAAATGCAGCTTTTAATCTCTAAAAATCTTGTATGCTGACTGGAAGTCATGGATAACTGGATTCACACTGAGATTTGTAACTCTAGAAGGTATCAACTACCATTCTTCTATGTTAAAAACAAATAGTCTCAGAACTTTTCCTGTCTCTCCTCTCCTTTTGTACATAAAGGTAGGTACAAAGTAAGATGACTAGTTGATTCATCTTAAAACAAGGTGTTCCAGGAAGTTTATTCGGACAATCAGGTTGTCATTGTCTTTTGGCTTTATGCTGATTTTTCCAGAGCAGGCATAGTTTCTTTTCATAATAAATTTATTTATTTATTTATTTAATTTTGGCTGCACACGGGCTTTCTCTAGTTGCAGTGAGCAGAGGCTACTCTTTGTTGTGGTGCGCGGACTTCTCATTGCAGTGGCTTCTCTTGTTGCGGAGCTTGGGCTCTAAGTGCACGGGCTTCAGTAGTTGTGGCACGTGGGTTTGGTAGTTGTGGCTCATGGGCTCTAGAGCACAGGCTAAGTGGTTGTGGTGCACGGGCTTAGCTGCTCCACGGCATGTGGGACCTTCCTGGACCAAAGCTCGAACCCGTGTCCCCTGCACCGGCAGGCGGATTCTTAACCACTGTGCCACCAGGGAAGTCCAGGCATAGTTTATTTTGTGTAGTTAAATTCACCAGTTCCCTGGTGCTCCTAAAACAATGTCTCAAATCACTTCCCTTCAAAGAAGCCAAAAAGCCCAGGTGCTCCCTTTCCTAGCTTCTCCTTTATCCAGCCTCCCTTGCAGCTAGAATGCAAGTATGTGATGAAGGTTTAACCAATCAGATGCTCCCACCCCAGATTTTTGAATTGGTGGCTACTGATGCAAAGCACTAAGAACAGTGGAGTCCATAGCAGTGACGGCAGTGACCACAGCAATATCCAGTTTCTGGGAACAGCAGATACTGTACAAAATGTCACAGCCATGTCCTCACTGGTAAGATGTTGGCTGTGGCCCCGCAGCTGCCTGGTCTCCCATGTTTCCTGCCTTCCTCCAGCCTGCTTCTCAAGGCTTCCTGGTACTTTTGTGAACCAACTGCTTTTCAGTCCATTCCTTTTCTGTTTAACTAGAGTTGGTTTCTGATGCTAAAGTTTTTTGCCAGTTATAAGGAAACAAGGAGAAAATCCCTCTCCCACACTCTGTGTCCCTCTTTGCCATCTGAGCACTAAGAATCCTTCATGAAAACAGCTCCTTATATACAAACAGCTCATACAGCTCAATATCAAAACAAAACACAAAAACAAAAACAACCCAAACAACCCGATCCAAAAAAAAAAGGCAGAAGACCTAAATAGACATTTCTCCAAAGAAGACATACAGATGGCCAATAGGCATATGAAAGGCACATTGCTAGTTATTAGAGAAATGCAAATCAAAACCACAATGAGGTATCACCTCACATCAGTTGGAATGGCCATCATCAAAAAGTCTACAAATAATAAATGCTGGAGAGGGTGTGGAGAAAACCTACACTGTTGGTGAGAATGTAAACTGGTGCAGCCACTATGGAGAAAAGTGTGGAGGTTCCTTAAAAAACTAAAAATAGAGTTGCCATGTGACCCAGCAATCCAATTCCTGGGCATATATCCAGAAAAGATGAGAACTCTAACTCAAAAAGATACATGCACCCCAATGTTCATAGCAGCACTATTTACAATGGCTAAGACATGGAAGCAATCTAAATGTCCATTGACAGATGAATGGATAAAGAAGATGTGGTATATATACAGATACAATGGAATATTAGCCATACAAAAGAATGAAATAATGCCATTTTCAGCAACATGGATGGACCTAGAGATTCTAATACTAAGTGAAGTAAGTCAGAGAAAGATAAATATCATATAGTTTCACCTATATGTAGAATCTAAAAAATAATACAAATGAATCTATATACAGAACAAAAATAGACTCACAGACATAGAAAACAAACATATGGTTACTAGCAGGGGACGTGGGGAAGAGATAAATTAAAAGTTTGGGATTGGGCTTCCCTGGTGGCGCAGTGGTTGAGAGTCCACCTGCCGATGCAGGGGACACGGGTTCGTGCCCCATTCTGGGAGGATCCCACATGCCGCGGAGCGGCTGGGCCCGTGAGCCATGACCGCTGAGCCTGCGCGTCCGGAGCCTGTGCTTCGCAACGGGAGAGGCCACAACAGTGAGGGGCCCGCGTACCGCAAAAGAAAAAAAAAAAAAAAGTTTGGCATTAACAGATATACACTACTATATATAAAATAGATGAACAACAAGGACCTACAGTATAGCACAGGGAAATATATTCAGTATCTTGTAATAACCTATAATGGAAAAGAATCTGAAAAAGAATATAGATAGATAAACTGAATCACTCTGCTGTACACCTGAAACTAAAAAAACATTGTAAATCGACTATACTTCAATTAAAACAAAAAAACCCAGCTCCTTTAGTCCTGGCTGTGTGTTTGCTCACCCTCCCCGCCCCCTTCTCTCATCTCTCCAGGTCTCAGGTATGATTTCAGGTTCCAGAGCACCAGCCAGCAGCAGAGACGTTCAGCTTGCTCTCTCTCCATCCCTCGCTGTCTCAACCTCCTCCAGGACAAGAGCCCCACCCTGTACAGCAGGGCTCCTATAAGTACCCTCCTGGAGCCACCGTTCCATTCATTCATCCATTTGCCCAGACAAGTCCGGCTGCCTGGCGAGCACACAATTGGGGCCTGGTTTAGAACCCCTACATATTGAGAAACTGGATACTTTGGGAAATAAATTGTCCTTTTTCTAAAAAGATCCTTCTAGATTATCTTTAGCAGGACTAAATGATTCCTGTTGAACCTGACACCTGTTTCCTAAAGGCTTGTCCCCTCCCTCTTTCCTCCCTCTCTTCCACCAGCATTCACAGAGCACATTTTAATGAGACAAGATGGCAGAGCCTCAGCTCAGCCCTCCCTCAGAGAAGTCTCACTTCACTCCAGTATGCTGTGTAACCCAAAATAAGTTCCTGCGCATCAGAATAGTCAAGACTGTTCCTCCTCTTGTAGGTGACAGAAGTCTCTCCTCTTTCCACTGCAAAGGAAATGCCTTCAGATCGGAAGGCATTTACTTTTTTCAAAAGTAAATAAAATGGGACTCCCCTGGTGGCACAGTGGTTAAGAATCCACCTGCCCGTGCAGGGGACACGGGTTCAAGCCCTGGTTCAGTAAGATCCCACATGCCGCAGAGCAACTAAGCCCGCAAGCCACAACTACTGAGTCTGCGTGCCTAGAGCCCGTGCTCCACAACAGGAGAAGCCACTGCAATGAGAAGCCGGTGCACCACAACAAAGAGTAGCCCCCGCTCACTGCAACTAGAGGAACCCCGCGCGCAGCAACTAAGACCCAACACAGCCATAAATCAATCAATCAATCAATCAATCAATAAATAAATAAATAAAATGGCTCTGCAAAACAAGAATCATTCGGTCATGTCCCAGGAGCCACTCAGTGATACCTTCTCTGTGTTTCAGCCAATGGCTTCAAGGCACCTAAAGTAGCAGTAGGCGTTTCCCAGACTCTGGCTCCTAGGAAACTTTACCTGGAGGGTGGTTGCAGGTATATTCTGAGTAACCAAGCTGGTTGGGGTTAAATCCCATTTAGTCCCTCGGGGTCCCCAGGGACTAAAGATTATGCACAAGAATGGCTCAGATACATCCACTGCCAGTCATTTGCAGTAACCAACTTTCCATAAATGTCAATACGCGGGCTTCCCTGATGCCTCAGGGGTTAAGAATCCGCCTGCCAGTGCAGGGGACACGAGTTCAAGCCCTGGTCCAGGAAGATCCCACATGCCGTGGAGTAACTAAGCCCATGCGCCACAACTACTGAGCCTGCGCTCTGCAGCCCACGAGCCAAAACTACTGAGTCTGCGTGCCACAACTACTGAAGCCAACTGCGCCTAGAGCCCGTGCTCTGCAACAAGAGAAGCCACCACAGTGAGAAGCCCATGCATTGCAAAGAAGAGTAGCCTCCGCTCGCGACAACTAGAGGAAGCCTGTACACAGCATGAAGACAAAACACAGCCAAAAATAAAATAAATAAAATATAAATTTTTTTAAAAGCCAATATGCTTATATTGACATGAATATGACACACATATATAATAGTTTCATTATAAAGGCATATTTTAATAAAGTTAAGTATATACATAAA